TGCCACCCACTGCGTTACCCACAAATGATGTCCCAAGACTCCTGCTATGCCTTGGTGGCAACTTGTTGGGTTTTGGGCTTTCTATGGCACATTGTTCCAGTTACTTTGATCTCCAGGTTGTCCTTCTGTGGCCCCAACATCATAAACCACTTTATGTGTGATGCTGGGACAATTCTCCTACTTGCTTGCCCCCCAATCAGAAACATTCCCATCATCTACCAGTTTTCCATGGATGCTGTGGGTATTTTAGGCAACCTGTTCTTTGTTGTGCTATCCTATGGTGCTGTGATTCTCACCCTGATGAAATCTTCTAGACGAGGCAGTCGGATGAAAGCCTTCTCCACCATATCCTTCCACCTAGTGGTGGTCACCCTTTTCTATGGCACAGTGGCCGGGATGTATGTAGCTCCAAGTGGAGAAAGCCAATCACAGGCCACCAAAGTAGTAACACTCTTCTATACAACAATCACACCATTTCTGAATCCTTTGATCTATTGTCTGAGGAATGATCAGGTGAAGGAGGCAGTGGGCAGATTGCAGAGGAGGAAGATGGGACTGGTGAAGAGAAAGTTGACTTGGTAAAAAAACAAAAAAACAAAACATGTTAGCTGTTTTAAGACCTTGACCCCCTGCTCTTCATTGACCTGTATCATGATTTTACTGTGACATTTTATAAGATTATGAATTTCTGTACGTGAGATTTACTGTAGCAGACCTCAGATAAATATTTTTGTATATAAATAAAAGAATACCAAAATGTGTTTACTAGGTGAAATACTCCCTAAAATGCTAGTGAATATTAAACAGGATTTAGATGATAGATAGATGATAGATGATAGATAGATAGATAGATAGATAGATAGATAGATAGATGATAGATGATAGATAATAGATAGATAGATAGATAGATAGATAGATGATAGATAGATAGATAGATGATATAGATAGATGATAGATAGATAGATAGATAGATGATAGATAGATAGATAGATAGATAGATAGAAGATAGATAGATAGATAGATAGATAGATAGATAGATAGATAGATGATAGATAGATAGATGATAGATGACAGATATAGATAGATGATAGATGATAGATGAATGATAGATAGATGATAGATAGATAGATAGATAGATGATAGATAGATAGATAGATAGATAGATATAGATGATAGATGATAGATAGATTGATCGATGATGGATAGATGATAGATAGATAGATAGATAGATAGATAGATATAGATGATAGATGATAGATAGATTGATCGATGATGGATAGATGATAGATAGATAGATAGATAGATAGATAGATAGATAGATAGATAGATGATAGATGATAGATAGATAGATGATAGATAGATAGATAGATAGATAGATAGATAGATAGATAGATGATATAGATGATAGATGATAGATGATAGATGATAGATAGATAGATAGATAGATAGATGATAGATAGATGGATAGATAGATAGATAGATAGATAGATAGATAGATAGATATAGATGATATAGATAGATGATAGATAGATAGATAGATAGATAGATAGATAGATAGATAGATGATAGATAGATAGATGATAGATAGATAGATAGATAGATAGATAGATAGATAGATAGATAGATAGATATAGATAGATGATACATAGATGATAGAAAATCACAAATTCCTATGGAAATGTGAAGAACTGAATTTAAGGCTGGAGCGATGAGAAGCCAAATTGGCATTATTACAAATTCAAAAAGAAGGTGAGAGGAAATAGGGGAAGATGAGCTTTCCTGCCATTGTGTTACACCTTTTCAAAACCACTGTCTCATTTATCTTCCCCAACCAAATCCTATGATTTGCATGTTGTGTAAAAAGTTCGCTTTCCCTCCAGTAGCCACACTAAAGAACAAAGCTTTTTCCCATCTACATGACTACACACATTGCATGGGTGCTCATGCTGGTTTTTCATACTGGAAGCTAGCAGCAGAGTAGAAATTAGGGGCCAATGGCTCCCATTGGGAGGAGGAGAAAGCAGTGCTGAAAATGGCGGAGCTCTTTGTACGCATTGACACTGTTCCTTCCACTGGGACTAATTCTGCATTGTTAGCTTCTTTTGTAAAGTCCCCTGCACAATGATGGCACCATAACCAAATAATAAAATTTGGTTGTTTTATGTGTGGTTATACTAAACTTGAAGAGCCTTGTCTATAATTAATAATAATCATAATATTTGTACCCTGCCCATCTGACTGGGTTTCCCCGGCCACTCCGGGCAGCTTGCAATATATATAAAAACATAATATAACATAACACATTGAATAGTGTTCCATCATTTTAATTGCTCAAAGGTGTTTAGCAAAACAGAATCCAGGTAAACAAGAAATACCTGTAGGAATTTCCTGTGTTTCACCGTGGCAGAGGCAGGCTGCAACCCCCTAAAGAGATGGTGTTTCGGTGGATAATGACAATGTTCTTAAGGACCATATTCCCCAGGGCCACCAAATACTTATCAGATACATTCTAGCTTTTATCTGCACTTTCTTACCACCCAAACAATCCCATGGCTTGTTATTGCAGAAGGACAAGGCATGTGATGTCCCCACAGCTGGCTAGATCGAGAGTTTGAAAGCCACTGAGGTACTGAAATGGGACTGCTATCAAGCCAAAGGAAGATGGGTTGGAAGAAGGAGAACATTGAGGGATGGGTTTGAATAGGTGACACTTGCAATGCTCAGATTTTGGTTTTTCAAGGAAATGTAAACAGGCTATTATAAAGTTCTGCACGGGGATGGAGGGAGAAATATTATTATTATTATTATTATTATTATTATTATTATTATTATTATTATTATTAATACCCCACCCATCTGTCTGGGTTCCCCCAGCCACTCAGGGCGGCTTACAGCACATAAAAAATTGTAAAAGATTAGACATTAAAAATTTCCCGATGCAGGGTTGCCTTCAGATGTCTTCTAAAAGTCAGATAGTTATTTATTTCCTTGACATCTGATGCGAGGGTGTTCCACAGGGCGGGCGCTACTACCAAGAAGACCCTCTGAGCATAGAATCAAGATTTCCCAGCTGCACTCCTGATTCTAATTTAAACCTGCTTTCCTCAACTCAGACCCTGGAAAATTCTTTCGAAAAATGCTCGCAGCAGAGGTGGTTTTAGGGTAGCGTGACTGCTGGGAAATCGCCCTGGGTGCCACACTGCAGGGGTGCCAAAACAATGTTGTAGAATGGAGCACGAGAGGCAGGGGGCACCAAATTTTAGTGGCACACAGGCACTGCTGAAATTTGAGAGCCCAAATTCCACCACTTGCAGCAGCCACCTTGGCAATTAAATGATATCTTAATTAAGTTTTTATTAAGCAGCAGTAGCAACACCTTTGTCTTGCATAAAGCTGCAATGGATTGTTTAGTTTCCTTATGAACAACAGTTGGAAAGACCCTCATTTCAAGGAAGTCATTTAGTGGTCCTGCTTAACCCTCATCTCAAGAGAAAGCTGGGTAGATGATCACTCTGGGTAAGGCATTTTCATATCCTGATCACCCATTTCCCTGCACAAAATCTAAATTTAATGGATATTGTTAGCATGTAGAATCATAGAATCATGACAGATGGCCATCTAACCTTTGCTTAAAGACCTCCAAGGAAGGAGAGTCCACCATCTCCCGAGGGAGACCATTCCAACCGTTCCACTGTCAAGCAGAAAGTTTTTCCTGATTTTTAATTGGAATCTCCTTTCTTGTAACTTGAGTCCTACCCTCCAGAGCAGGAGGAAAAAAAGCTTGCTCCATCTTCCATGTGACAGCCCTTGAGATATTTGAAGATGGCTATCACCTCTCCTCTATTCCAGGTTAAACATACTCAGTTCCTTCAACCATTCCTCATAAGGCTAGATTTCCAGACCCTTGATCATCTTGGTTGTCCTCCTCTGCACACCTTCCAGCTTGTCAACATCCTATGTAAATAGGACATGTAAATATTTCATTTTCTCGCTACCTTTTCCATAATATTTTGTCCTGTTTGCCCCACTCCAAGCGGATCTTCTCCTAGTTGATTTTGCCATGCAAAGTCTCATAGTTGACTCAGCCATTTGAAAAACATAGGAAACTGCCATATACTGAGTCAGACCATCCATCTAACTCAGCATTGTCCACACTGACCAGCAGCTGCTCTCCAGGGTTTCAAACAAGGGTCTCTCCAGACCTACTTGAAGAAGCTGGGGATTGAACCTGAGACCTTCTGCATGCAAAGGAGATGCTCTACTATTCAGCTCCAAATATCTGAAGGGCTATCAGATCAAAGAAGAAGCAGACTTGTTTCCTGTTGATCCAGAGAGCAGAGCTAAAATCAGTGTGTGAAAATCACAGGGAAGCAGAACAATAGTAGAGGTTGGCCCATTTTTATTATATAAGTCTGCCGAGAGAAAGTTGCAGGCGACTTTTGACATCTTAATCTCATCATATTTTGTCTTCTTCTCTTCTTCTTTTGGACAAAGCCAGAGAGATCATGCTGGCAGGACTTTGCAAAGTAAATATTCTTTAGAAAGCATTTCAGACATGTTTTTGCTTATCAAAACGACCTCTATTGTTCTATGCTCTCTTACCACATCTTTTTATTATGCAAATATATATTTTGATAGCTTGAAGGAAGCTAAGTTTTTATAAAGACTTCTCTCTCAAGCAGTTTTATTCATATTTAATGGCTATACAATACCCCCCTACACACACAAAAACAGGTCTATGTTCCCTATGGATAATCTCACACATTATGGTAAACACAACTAACTCGGTGTTCGCTTAGCTACCAGGGTTTAAAAACATATCTGTAAGATGCATATGGTGACAAAATGTGATCTGAAATATATGGGAAGGGGGTTACAACAGTCCCCTCTCTCACTCCACCTAATAGGCATTTCTGCATAGCTTTTGTCCTCCAGACAAGGAGACAGGCAGCTGATACTTGCTTATGGCATGGGCTGATGGTTCTATTATCCACTTGCAGATGGAGATGGCCAATGGGACCACCATCCAGGAATTCATTTTGGTGGGCTTTGGAGATGGGCAACAGAAACGTTTCCTGCTTCTCGTCTTTTTCACCACCCTCTACATTCTCACTTTGGCCGAGAACCTCATGATTATCACACTGGTGGTCCTGGACACCCATTTATCCCGGCTTCCCATGTACGTCCTGCTGAGCAACTTCTCCTGGCTGGAAGTGTGTTATGTGAGTGTAACTGTGCCCCGGATGCTGTTTGACCTGGCGTCCCCTCATGGAGGAATCATCCCCTTTCACGATTGTTTGGCTCAGTTCTACCTCTTCTTTTCTCTTGGAAGCACCGAATGCTTCTTCCTCTCAGTCATGGCCTTGGACCGCTACTTAGCCATCTGCCACCCACTGCGCTACCCACAAATCATGTCCCTGGATTCCTGCTATGCCCTGGTGGCTACTTGCTGGGTCCTTGGCTTCCTGTGGAATGTTGTCCCAGTGACCTTGATCTCCAAATTGTCCTTCTGTGGGCCAAACATCATTGATAATCTGCTGTGCGATCCTGGGCTGATTATGTCCCTGGCCTGCCCCCCACTAGGAAATGTTCCTTTCATCTGTCAGCTTTCTATGACTTCTGGGGTTTTAGTCAATATCTTATTTGTTGTGCTCTCCTATGGTGTTGTGATTCTTACTCTGGTGAAAGCCTCTAGCCGGGGAAATCGTAGGAAGGCTTTCTCCACAATATCATTCCATCTAATTGTGGTGACACTTTTTTACGGGTCAGTAGCAGCCGTCAATTTAATTCCACGTGGAGAAAGCCAGTCAGATCTCAATGCGGCCGTGACGTTGTTCTACACCGCTGTTACTCCCTTTCTCAACCCGCTGATCTACTGCCTGAGGAATGATCAGGTGAAAGAGGCACTGGGACGGTTGTTGAGGAACACAGAGAAATGGCGGAGCAGAATTGTGACAGAGTGAAAAAGTGGGAAGAAGAAAGAGGATGCAATACCGAATCAGTCTGTTGAAGAAATCACGAGTGTGTTTAGTTTTGACCAGAAGAATGAACATCCCTCCTCAACCACATTGTAATGTTCAGTTAAGATTCCTCAAAAATTGACCAGCCCTAACACTGGGCAAAGTGAGATTGCTGCTTCAGGCAATGGATGCTGGATGTCAGGTAGTGTTGGTGAGATGTTGGAGCCCAGGGCTGTGTCACCCCCTACATGATTCCACTGTCACTGGGACAACTGGAGGATGCTGTCCTGTCGCCAGTAATTTTAAAAAGATTAAATTGACAATCGTGTGTGTGAGACAGGGGTGTGTGTCTTCCTGTCCACAGGCAGCAAAATGTCTTGGACCAGCTGTGTTCCAAAAACTAAGCTGGGGAGAAGGTCAGGGAGGGGAATATTCATTGCCTGTCAACCACATGACACTATAATAATGTTTATTTCTTCCTTTGAGAACTAGAATGCAAGGGTCAAACATTATCGGCTCAGAATTATTTGCTGTATCTATTATGTAATAAACAAAATTAAACTGATTAACAGTTCCTTTATATAACAACATGACTTGGGAGGTGTTGTGTGTGTCTTATGCTTAGGAATGGGGGAGAAAAAATATTTTTGTTGCATTTTTAATGAGAAATTACCTAATTTCACTTTTTAAAATTAAATTTAGTTACATTTTGAAATAAGAAACATGGCAAACTAAACACACATACCCTTTTTACTCAACCTGAAGGCATTGTTCAGATCTAGATGATGATGATGATGATGATATAAAGTTCATATAAACACTGAATTGGAGAGAGTAAAAATTGCTAATGCCAATATAAAATAATTTTAAAAATTTTAAAAATTGTCCAGTAGCACCTTGGAGACCAACTAAGTTTGGTCTTGTTATAAGCTTTTGTGTGCATGCACACTTCTTCAGATACAGTACACTTCTTCAGATACACTTCAGATACAATGTATCTGAAGAAGTGTGCATGCACACAAAAGCTTATACCAAGAACAAACTTAGTTGGTCTCCAAGGTGCTACTGGACAATTTTTTTATATATTTCGAGTGCATCATTCCAACACAGCTACCTACCTGAATAAAATAACACAATGAGACATGGTAGATATGGTTTGTCCTGTAGAGTCTTTGTTCATGTGCTAGATAAATGGATATCACCCATTTCTTTACAGTGTTATCCCATGAAGAACAGTTGCTTTTTCCTTCAAAAAATGAGCATGTATTTCCTTTTAAAGGTAAAATGTTTGCCTCTTGCCCATGAACCACTTTGGCAGGGCAAGGCAATCCACACTTCAGCAAGGCTCTCTCCTATATCAGATGCAAATTGTGTTTGGGATCATGTCGTTCCTAAGAGGTAGTTTAGCACCATGATAAAAATAATGGTCAAGTTGCTCCCCCTGGGAGTGGGGAGAAGATCAATGCCCTGCATCTGGCTGTTTTTAAAGATCTCCACTGGGGTAATTAGGGAAAGCAAGAAGGTCAACCCATTGTTTGTTCCCATATTAGCTTGGATTTCAGTGCCTTCTTAAGGTCCATCAGGGAAGGGAGATTAGTATCAGTTGCTTGGATAAACAGCATTTCAAGAAAGAAGGCAAGGTCAAGCTTTCTCCCTGTCAAGCTATTTTTCTGTATGCAGGGAGATTTTCTGATGGACAAGTGGAACAGCTTCTGCAGGACAACACTATATGGAACAGAATATTATTTTAACATAGTGTTACAGATTTGGGGTAATAGAGTTTTGGGGGTGCACAAGTGCCTGTAATTCTAAGCAGTTAGTGGATGTTAGAAATTACTGGCTGCTAGAAATTACTAAATGCTTGGAGTCTTCCTCTGAGTGAGAGACAGCTTAGCAGTGTAAAAATGCAGGCTAAGCTTATTTTTCACCTGGGATGGAAGTCTTCAAGCATGACAAAGGTGTTGATGGACCATCAAAGGAACATGCTTGGATCTGTGAAATGGAAGTTGCCGGGGTAACTTTGGGCCTGTCACACAGGAAAAATGTTGTCCTGGAGAAGGGGAGCCAGTGTTTCTCACTCTGATGAAACCACTAGCCAGGACAATTGTAGGAAGGCTTTCTCCACCATGTATTTCCACTTTGCGCTGATCACACTTTTCTATGGCTCAGTGGCAGGGGTTTACTTCACATGGAGAAAGGCAATCAGCTCTCACTAAGATAGCCACGGTCTTCTAAATGGCTGTCACACATTTTCTTAACCCCTTGATCCTTCTGTCTGATAAATAGTCAGGTAAAAGTGGCAGTGGCGTAGTGTGGGTTGTCAGCACCTGGGGCAAGGCAAGTAATTTGCGCGCCCTAACCCGTGGATTTTAGCACTCGAGTGCGAGTGCCCCCCCCCCGATGTTGCGCCCAGTGTGGCCGGCCCCCCCTGCACCCCCCATGCTACGCCACTGAAAAGTGGCACTGGGCTGTTTGCGGAGGTGGTTGCTGGAGGGGAAAGAAACAGTTTAAACATAAGAACATAGGAAGCTGCCTTATGCAGAAACAGATATTTCATACATTGAGCTCAGCACGAACCTACACAGACTATTAGTGGCTCTCCAGGATTTTAGACAGGTGACATTCTAAGCCCTGCCTACAGATGCAGGGATCAGGGGTGCCCGTTCCTGGGGGCCAAGCCCTTTTGCCGCCCCCCCCCATATTTTGAAGGTCACCAGTCACCGAAAAGCACAGAGGCAAAATAGAAAAACTAAATCATACATGGAGTCCATGTCTGGAGGAACATTATAAACAGATGCATCTGAAAATATCATAGATATTTCCAAATGAAATCATATTTGTTTAGAACAAAAGGTCCTCCACATGGCTGCAAAGTCCTCTGGCTCAGCCTTCTGCCTGAAAACCTTTAAACAACAGGTGTGTTTTTCAGACACAGCAAGGTATCACTTCTTCTTCTTTTTTGCAAAAAATTTATTAGTTTTTACAATATCAATGACAAACAAAAACATAAAACAAACAAAACATAACAAACATGCTGTGTCTGAAAAACACACCTGTTGTTTAAAGGTTTTCAGGCAGAAGGCTGAGCCAGAGGACTTTGCAGCCATGTGGAGGACCTTTTGTTCTAAACAAATATGATTTCATTTGGAAATATCTATGATATTTTCAGATGCATCATATCCTTATTGAAAATAACAGTTATTTACTTTGTAAAATGACTTCCTCGTTTCTGTTGAATTTCATTGCATATCCTTATAACGCTTTTCCAAATCCCAATTTTAATACACTTTAAATTAAACATTAACATCTTTAAATCTTCTCCTTCTTGTATTAAACATATTATTTTATCAGTTAACATAGATACAATCCTAAGCCCTTTAAGTATCTGGAAGCTATTTCCAGTTATTTTAGCTTAACAAATTTAACTAAATAATCATTAAATTTCTTCCATTCTTCGTGGTGTTCCTCCTCCTTCCGGTCGCGGATTCTTCCGGTTAAATCGGCTAGCTCCATACAATCCATCATCTTCATCTGCCATTCTTCTACTGTTGGTAATTCTTGAGTTTTCCACTTTTTAGCTAACAAAATACGAGCCGCAGTTGTGGCATACAAAAATAGATTAACATCTTTCTTGGGCAATTCCGAACCTGTTATTCCAAGAAGAAAGGCCTCTGGTTTCTTTATAAATGTATATTTCAACATTTTTTTCAATTCATTATAAACCTTTTCCCAGAAGTCTTTCACCTTGGAGCAGGTCCACCACATATGAGAGAATGTTCCTTCCTTTTCTTTACATTTCCAACATGTATTATCACAATTATGATACATCTTTGCTAATTTTACAGGGGTCAAATACCATCTATACATCATTTTCATAATATTTTCCTTTAACAAAGTACATGCGGTGAACTTCACCCCTTTCTCAGCAAGGTATCACTTCTGTTGTTGGCCTCTATCTCTCTCAAGACAATGGAGTGTGCCTTCGGGGGTGAAGTCAAACTGCTGTGCTAGCAGCACCCAAGTGATGTCCCTGGGGCACATGCCTGGGCAGTGTGTACTGAGGTCCTGGGCTGCCAAAACAACAAGACCCCACTCTCAGCCTCACTGATGTAGTCCAAAGGAAAGCAGAGCAATACATTTGGCACCAGCGGGGCTGAAGAAGTTGCCGGAAGGAGGTGTACAAGGTGCCATCCAAGAGTCTTAGGGACTCCAGAATTGTGTTGGGTTTGCTCCTTAGCCTTTTCTTCTGCTGAGGATGTCCTGCAAGGCAACAGAGCTTTAGTATCAGAATTTTCCTTCTCCTAGATGGGTTACCTTCCCAGGCTGATGAGCCCTACCTGCCCCCTCATTTCCCTCTATAGCACATGCAGAAACCACCTTCTTGACCCACTATTGATTTTGCCTGCTCAATTTGCCAGAGGCTGTCTTCATATGCACTCCTCCAAACAGCAAATCTACTAGTTCTCGTATAAAGAATATTTGTAGTAGCAACCCTAAAGGATGCGGTTTGCATTCCAGAGTTCAAAAGCAAGGTGTGGTCGACTACAAGAACCATAGAACCGTTCAAGACTCTACCTATTCTATTCTTCTGGGAAGCTCAGCCACTGCCTCTTTCTCAGTTACAGATAGGTAGCCGTGTTGGTCTGCCATAGTCAAAACAAAAAATTCCTTCCAGTAGCACCTTAAAGACCAACTAAGTTAGTTCTTGGTTATGAGCTTTCGTGGTTTATCTGAAGAAGTTGTGCTTGCACACAAAAGCTCATACAAGAACTAACTTAGTGTCTTTAAGGTGCTACTGGAAGAATTTTGTTTTGCCTCTTTCTCAGTGTGTCTCAAAACTGAAGCTTCTCTTTTCTTCCTTCTCTCTCTCTCTCTATCTCTCTCGTTTACATTCACCCTAGGGATAGGGGGAAAATTACTGGGATTGCCATTTGGTAACATTCCTTGAACTAGGGGCCCAGAGAGCAGTGGCATAGCATGGGGCAGGGGGCCATGGCCCCAGG